CAAAAATTTAATAAAATATTAAATATATGTGAATAGATATTTTTATCGAAATGAATATGTATATATGTAGACTTGTTATAGCGACATATACACTCAACGGAATTCAAACACCTGCTTCTTCTTCAATTTATTACAAAACAAAGTTTGAAGTAATTTTTTTAAAAATAAAGTTCAACGAGTATTATTTAGAATTAATCAAAAAAATTGGTAGTTAATATTATAAATCATAAGATGAACTATATCATATACCTATACATGTATTTGTAAAACAAAGAAATATTAAAAAGTTTTATCAAACAATTTAAATCCTATAGTGAAAGAAGATGAGACATCCATATAGTACGTAGAAAACTGGATCTGACGACATATTCATATTGAGACTAACCTCTTAATTTAGCTATCGCTTCAAAAATTATTTATTTAGAATTGAATGGATCAACAACTTTTTGGAACGTAACTCAGAAACACGAATTTTAATTCATTTATTTAAAATTTAATTGTTACTAAGAGTAACACAAAATATCCATCCATTGGAATTCATAAAGATGAGTTCTAATCCATTCATTGCTTATGACCCATTTTAGATCCAAACCCACTTGAACTTAATTTTTACTCTTTACTAATATTACAAAAATACTCACTTTTTGAAATTCAGAAAGACGAGTTCTAATCCATTTATTGCTTATGATCCGTCTTACCTCCTACGCCCACTTGAACTTAATTTTTACTCTTTAAATATATTACAAAAATACCCATCAGTAGAAAATAAAATTAACGATTACTATATATGTTGTGTATATATTTTTTATTGTTGATTAAATAGTAGTGATATAAATATTAATTAAAGTTATTGTTACATTAACAATTTAATATTTAGAAATTTATTTTAGTTCATTTCTATTCAATTTTGTTGTTTTAATTAATTTTTAAAGTCCTTCTCTTTGAGACCATTCCAACCATGATCCAGGATAGCTTTTAGAGCTTAAAATAGAAAAAAAAAATGAAATGTCATTATAAACATAAATATATTTGAATTTCAAAATTTTATGTTTAATGTTTAAATTCTAAATTAATTATTAAAATATATATTAACTAATTATTATATTATAATATTATTTTTATATTCTTCATGATCATTATATTATTTTTATATTCCTCATTATATAATTAAATTTGAAATGATTTTATTTTAAATTTATACTTTATTATCTTTCATATTTTTTTTTATATTCGAATATAACATACACATATGAATAAATTATTCATTTATTATAATTCCAGAAAATTCATAAATAACTTAACTAGAAATATTTAATTGTTTCATGTATTAATTATGAAAGATATAAAAGATATTATTATATAGATATAGATAGATATAGATGTAGATATAAAGCTGCGTGTAAAAATTTGAATTCGGTTAAATAAGTGATCTACGAGTTCATCAAAAAACTTTTAGTAGGCAATTCCTTATAACAATATTAGTATTAAACAATATAGTGAAAAAGAATTTCATATAAATTTATATTTGAGAAGATAAGAGAGATAAACTGCATACCATGTGCTTGGAAAGTGTCCGGCACTTATGCTCATGCGGAAAAAACACCTAGAGCGGTATTTCATGGATCATATGTTAAGGATTCAAGACTAGGAAATATAGGCTCTGTACTGTCTTTCATTAAAGAAATCGGATTTGGAGAAACACTCTAATCCGACTAAAGGGAACAATAGATTTTTTAAGGGAATATTCCTGATAACATAAAAGTTTATTTTATATAATCATAAAGTACACATATGTATTTAAAATTTTCTTAAGTTCTTAAACTTAGCTTATAAACATAAAAATTGAGAAGTGATATATTCATTTCTTATCACTTATTAATAATATTTCCCAATACTAAAATATGCTTAATACTTACTTAATATAACCGAGATCTGTAGCAATAGCAGTAGCATTCGCTGCACGTCGACCAGACTGACATGTGAATATAATTACAGCGTCCATTGCTGGTTTTTCTCGTCCATAAGTTTCCAAAAAACTGGCATCACCTCCAGTTAAAGCTTCCTGTAATTCAGGCACTAATAAAAAAAAATTGACATTTCTTTAAAATTAAATCATTAATTGATGATATATTTTTCTGAAGTATAAATTGTATACTATACATAATTAGTTTTTAATTTATTCAAAAAGAAAACCTTATTAATTTTAGTTGAAAATAAATAAATAATCATTAATATATATTAAAAATTTTTATAATATAAGCAATTAACAATAATTATTTCACAACAGATTTAACCTACTGTAGGGTACAGGTCATAAAATTTTCGATGATTAAGTCATTCTCCCCTTGTTTACTTGAATTCATCTGACTTAATCTTGTTTCTTCTTAATGATCGCATATTTGTTGTGTTTAATAGCTTTGCTTGAGGTTTTATAAAAGTATATAAAATTATAAAAGTTTTAAAAATAAAACTAAGAACAAAGCTTCTAATTTTTTTTGCATAGTCACGGTTAAAAGAACTTTTAAACAATTTACTAAGCGTGTGTAAAACCAGTTGGTCAATACCGGCTTTGTTGATATGTATTTATATATATAATATATAATATTATTCTTTTTTAAATAAAAAAACATTTAATGTTTATTTTCAAAAATATAAGTTCTACTCTAGATTGAAAATCATAACATGAAATATGTAAGACTTAATTCTATTTATTCTCTCTATTCTATTTTCTCAGTTATTTTGTGATCCTAAATGTCACATGATGCCTTGACAGTTAGGGACCATGGTGTTAGATAATATGTCGATTGTGTTTAATCTTTGGTGTTTAGATTAAATTAAATATCACTGCTTTGTTTTATTTTATGTACCTATATGGTCTTATTATTTATATTTCTACGGCTTATGTGATGTCAGTATGTGCTTATGCGTTAAGTTATATATGTGTATATGTATGGTATATATGGTAAAAGTTACTTATTGTGTGACTAAGTTCATTTATTACTTTTATTTGATCTAATTACGGTCTTTCACCATTTTTTCACTTGACCATCGTTCAATTAAGATAGTAATGTTATTGAACTAAAAGTCAAAATAAATAATCTTCTTCGCTTTCTCAAAATGTTTCTATCGATATCCTAATTGTCTATATTATCTTAACTTAAAACAATACGGTCTGATAGTCAACTCCAATCTTGTGTTATCTCTGGTTTTTGGCTTATATTATGTTTCTCAAGAAGTGATGAAATTTGAAGTTGGATTATAGTAACAATCAGTATATTATCCCAAACATATTTCATCGACTTGTTTGGTGTTTGGCTGACCGACCAGAGCCTGGTCCCGGGTCCGGCGTTCAGTTATAGTTTTCTCACCGTAAACTGAATAAATTTTTCGGTATGCTTATAATAAACATATTATGCAGATATAACAAATCGGGTTGTTATCTTCGAAAAAAATGTGTTAAGAAGAATAATTATATATAATGCATTTAAGGCTAAGGAAATGTAAACGTGAACAGAAATTAAAGAATTATAGCGTTCCATTATTATTAAAAACTAAAATGAATAATCATATGAAAAGAGTTTTGAGATATTGTGATTCAGAACCATCGAAAACATTCTGAAGGAAAGAAAGAAGATATAGAGTGAAGAAGTAAAACCGCACTGTTAGCTATAGTACTAAAATGAACGTATTAATATGATTTTGTAACATTGCGAAAACAATATTAATAGTACATAATAATAGCCATTTTACTTAATGATATTTATCGTGATAGTGGTTCTAAAGAGCAGAAATAATCTGTTTTTCAAATTCTTTGTCAATGCACACCATTAAGTCTAGAAATTTTTTGGGCACTTATGATCCTTATAAAGTTCTTTCTGACTTGTGTATAAACAACACTGATCTGTAGTATTAAAATAGACATTATTGGAGCTGAAATATGTTTTGGTGCACAAGACCGCCACTCCAACCATAATCAAATTGGCAATTAAAAACTGTTGAGTAAATGTTATAGTATTAAAAACTAAAGTAAGTCAATGTATGCATCATATAGGATATATGCTCATATTTTTCAATAGCAGAAGTAGAATACGTACTTGTACAGACGAATTTTTTACACACAGCTCCAATAATAAACTAATATCGATTAATGAAAGTAGTACATGAAAGAAGTACACACACATACACGCAAAAGTATCTACTGTGTATAATATTGATTAAAACAAAGTCTCTTAATATTTAATTAATTTAATTAATTATTTTGAACCACATAAAAAATATTATTTCTTCTATTCATTAGCAACAGTTGATAACCGCCATATTAAACCACTTATATAGAACATCTGTTTTCTAAAGTAATAGCATTTTAAATACTTGACAAAAAAATTAGACAATTTTATTAAATATATTTTTTCAATAAACAATTTAGGAAAATAAAAAAAATTTCCATTATATTGTATTGTATTGTTAAATTAATAATAATTTAATATAATTTAGTTAAGCATTCTACTTACATGGTATGTTAATGCTTCCTGGAATAGAACCGGTATTCGCAATCTCATCTCTGTTTCGTACATCAATTAAATATTTCTCTGGATGATTTGGAATGTCTTTAACTTCCTCATAAGTTGCCATTTTTAATTTCCACTAAAAAATAAACTATTCACTTGAGCGGTGTATTAGTAACTAAACTTAGCCAAACAAACTGAAATCAGTTTCTGTAAAAGTTCTATCGATAGATACACTATGTCTACACCAATGAACACGTAAGAATACAAATATAAATGTGATTAACCAAACTAAACAGCTGAACACTTGAAAAGAGAAATCACTGAGCTTGTCTTACCTAATTATAATAACAAATATAATAAATATTTTTCCATTACAAATATTAAAACAAATCATTTCAGTCAGATAAACTTTTAAAAAAATAGTTAGCATAGAAGATTTTTGGTACGCTACATTGGTTTATTATTTAATATTTTATTTTAATTTGTTTTTATGAAGCTCTGTATTGAGTTGCATTTAATCGTTTACACTTTGTTGTGTTAATATAAAGGATTAAAATAAAATTTCATTTAGAAAACTACATTTTATTTTCTTTTTAATTACATATTGAAAAGCACATAAATAGTACATATTACATACATGTACATAAATACATCAAACAGAGTAGTTATCAAAGACAACATGTATTTAGTTTAAAGTTTTCCATTTTACATTATAGACCGTTTAACAACCATTGTACATTAAAATTCTGAACATATAAAAAACTATAAATAATATAATTATATAAATAATATAATTATATAATAAATATATATATAAATAATATAAAAATGGCATGGTTTTTTATAAATGATTTTGGATATGTTATTATTATTATTATTATTTAAATAGGCTATTTGTGCACCCCGACCTAAAAGATCTATTGTGCGCCTATAGGCCCAACTAGGACAATTTTAGACTATTTATAAATCTTATAATTGCAGTGGGCTTAATTTTACCTATTTGATTTGGGACCAGGATCCCGCTACTAATCGAGTCTACGTCTTGCCACCGCTGGGCAGTTGCATAGAACATGTTCTGATGTTTCCTTCTCCTCATGACAGAGTCGACAAGAATCACTTTCTACCGCACTTATAATCTTCATGTGGTAATTAAGTCTACAGTGTCCTGTAAGTTTTATTAAACAAAAATTTTTTATTTGGATATGTTTCAAACAAAATTATCAAATCTGGGGTTCAATGAAAATTCACATTGCCTCCACAAAAAATCACTTTATTGTATGGCATTTTCTTTAGAAATGCGATATGTCCACACTGTTTTAAAAATGACAAAGATGTGACACAAGTCATCAAATCTGATCGTTACAGTCATGAGAACGAAATAGGGACCAGCAGAAGAAGATGGCGACCAAGAAAACGATTGAAAGACAGTGTATAGCAGAATTTAGAAGAAATGAACATAAGAAATTGAAAAACAAAAGCAAGAAACAGAAGAGAATGGAAGGATGTTTTTAAACAGGCTTACGCCCTACTTAGAATGTATAGTCACGGATGATGATGATCGTTACAGCCATATGATCACAATTATGATATGGTACTGTTAGCAAAGACAGAAGGCAAACAAATTAAAAGAAGGCTGCGTACTGTGAGATTTAGTTATAAATATGGAGAAATCACTACTTATGATATTTCCAAGACACGCAAAACGACAAAAAACTTTTACATAGGTAATAAAAACTAAAAATTACTTTGGAATAGGTGGATGCATAAAAATAGTAGATGCAGTATACATGTAACAAAAAAAAATGCCAAATAAGAGTTCAATAGGACTTTGAAGCATGTAATGTCAAACAAATATGTAGCAGTTTCCATCAAGTATAAAGAATATGAATCGTCGATAAGGTGATCTCTAACTTATGCGATACAAGTGTGGCGAAAAAATTGATTATGCAGAAAATCTGTTATAGTTTTATAACAAAAAGTTTTAAATAACTTTCCAGCTATCCATAAACATGCGTAGCTTTATGATTCCCATAGGTACTAGTCAGCTAACAGTACATACATAAGTGCCTTCAAGACGCATATTGATTTATCAACTGCACTCTGAAATTGTCTAAAAAAAACTGCTATAATTTATATCATACTGGGCTCTTATTTAATCTTAAGTGGGCGTTGGTACTCTAATATTGGTTGCCACACTAATCTGACTACAATGAAGCAAGTCTTACAGCAAATAGTCTTATTCTTTTAAAATTGTACTGAAATGTTGACCGAAATTAAAGGAACCCTTTATATGGGTGATGTAACAAGTTAAAGACTTTGGCAGATAAGGGTATTAGAAAAAATCAAAGAAAAACAACGGCAATGTTTATAGAGAAAGTAAGAAGCAACCTCACAAGAATTGTATTCAGTACATTAAACTAGGCAAAAAAAAAATAATTTTTATTAGTATAACTAGTAGATGACCCGGCGAACTCTGTTCCGCCTTAAAGGCAATAAATAAGCAGTTTTTTTTTAATTGGAAAAAATACAAAAAAAAAAAAATACCTACATTAATCATTCATAATTTATTTGTGTATTTTAGTACACATCGCAAATTATCTATTTGTTGACCTCTGTTGTTCGCTCGACCTTCAGTCCTTAAATTTGCAGTATTTCGTATTCTTCTTGCATTACGGCTTTGTCGGGAAAGATTCGATCGTCTTGGTCGCGGCATTATTAAAAAACTAAAAACTCAAATTTTCAACCATACCATACATTATAATTGTTAATTATTTATTTTGTTGAGTTTGCAACAACCAGGTAGTTTTATTGATTAAAAACGATATTTATTGCAACACAAACTTATATTGATCTAATACAACTTTTAAAAACACATTAACTAAGATATATTTCTATCTGTTAAATTTTAATAAAATATTTTAATAAAGTATTAGTATTGCTGTTAAGCTAGACTTACTTTGTATAGGGACAAAGAAGCTTTATTAAATTTTAGAGGAATTTTTAGAATAACATAGCATAGCTTCTTTGTAAAAGCACCAGAATGGTCGCTTTACATATAGTAAGTAAAAAATATGCATTACAAAATGTCTCTACAAAAAGAGTAGCTTTGAAAAGAAATAAAGAATTAGCAAACCCAAAAAGTTAAACTTTCAATTCGTTGAACTTGTGTTTCCAAAAATAAAGCTGTAGTTTATAAGCTCGTTCTAATTTAAAGCACGGCAAGTGCTTTGGTTGGTGTCACTAATTAAATAAAAAATAAATGACAATAAAACCTGGAACTTGAGCATTGAACGTTTGTGCAGCCTTGGCTTTTTGTGGATAAACACGATTGGTCATCGCTTCTAATTTGACAGGCACGAGTTCTAAGCCTGGCACTTGCAGTCCAAACAAATTATATACGGACTATAAACTAATTAAATAAAAATTCGATTATTCCAAAGACCACTGATGAAGAGTACTTGGCAATACTCGAAACAGCGTTGTATGGTCAGCCAAACTTCAATAAAATTAAAAATAAATTTTTGTGTTTGTCCTTTATTTCTTTCTTTGCTATTCGAAAATTCCTAAAAATATTTTCTATCAAAAATTTGATAATTTCAAAACCTACTTTGTCGTGAACGGGATAAACAGGTATCCTATGTCCTTCTCCTGGCCTTAAACTACCTCCCTGCCAATTTTCAGCTAAATCGGTTCAGCCTATATCCTTCTCCTGGCCTTAAACTACCTCCCTGCCAATTTTCAGCTAAATCGGTTCAGCCGTTCTTGAGTTATAAGTGGTGTAACAAAAACACATCTTTCTTTTATATATATAGAAGATATTAAAAACAGGAGAAGAGCTTCTGAAACTTTATTATATGTCCGAAGCATTTTCGATTTTGACGAAGTAAAATACATGTTGAATGACTGGAATTGGGTAACACTTTAGAAATAGCAGCAGAAAAGGGGTATGAAGAGAGCAGAATACAAAAGAAGGGTATATCAAAGAAGCCTTCTGTTGTATTAAAAGAAAATAATCGAGTGCAACATTCAATGCTTCCTATGTATTTCATAAAATAATGCAATTTTAAAAATATATTCTTGCTTGAATATACATATGTATGTGAATTACCTGAAACTATTTTATATGAAATATAAATTAAATTAAACCCCAAACAGATGATTATATCAGTTATTACCGTAAGATTGAAGACAAAGTAGATTTTAAATGTGATTAATTTATAATATATATAATAGAAACAACTACTAACTAAAATAAATTATTATAAGATAAAACGGAATGCAATCAGAATATACTAAAATAAATAATTATTTAATATAGTAATTAAAAATTATATTTGTTTGTATAAAAGTTTTATTTATTTTTATTTTTATAGGTATATACAGAACTTCGATATAAGCATAGTGGATGAGGCTACACAATGTACGGAACCGCTAAGCTTGTTACCTTTTACATTCGGAATTAGTCAACCAATTTTAGTGGGTGTGTTCAACTACTTTCAGCTACTCGCCGAAACGAGTAATAAATAAGCAATATTATTATATTTTAATATATTTACAACAGGTGCTTTCGGCAGATCGCAAGTGTGGCAAAAAACAGCAAGTTGTTGGCTTATAAGGCCTAAGCGAGACATTGGCATCACTGTTGCCGTCTGTCAAATATTATGTTTTGGCAAATAGCAAATCTTACACATGTGCATAAAAATGTAATTTGTATAAAAATAAATAATTAATATAGAATTGAATTATTAAATTTGTGAAAATTTTTCATTTTATTTGCATTTTTGTTTACAAACTTCTGACATATGATTGGAATATTCGTTGAGATTTCTAATGAACGTTCGCAATAGTTCACATGTTGCGTTGGTAATCCTTTATTCTTTACTGGCTAACGTACTTGGCCACTTAAGAACTAGGTGCTTAGACAGAGAAAGTAGTGTTGTTGTTTTGCGTATATTTAAGCAACTATAGGCCTAATATAACATCACACACAAATGTTTTTGGTTATGATTTTATTTAAATGCTACAATGCTGAAATATGGAAGAGCATTGTTTATCCGTGTTGAAAACTCTGTCGATTCATCGTATGCATCCAGATATATGCTTGTACCCAAATTAGTACTTCTACTGAATAAACCATATAATATGCTAAGCTTATTTTATATTCTGCGACAATAAATGCTTTTTTTGATTTATTTTGAATAGCATTAGTTTAATTTGGGACTTATGAGCTCAAATCTGAAAATCTTTTTTTTCCAAGACATCTAAGTCTTTGACAATAATGGATTAAAATGTAAAAACTAAGATCTTATATGGTTAAGAGATTTTAATTATAAGAGATACAAGCTTCATGTATTCATTAATATACAACAAATAAATAGATAAACATTTTTGCTCTAGATATTATTCCCCAAATTCGACTTCGTTCCGGCCAAAAAGAGGGATTCTTCATATAACTTTTAAGAAAGTTCTTTTTTTTATAGTTTGATTTTAAAAATTAACCGTCTTCGAGAAGGAAGGAGAAGGATGTCTGCGGTAAAAATATTTTTCTATTGATTCGTAACAAGTTAAGTGATGACTCGAAATTCGAATCGTTTTAAATAAAAAATTTTTTTTATTAGCAATTTGTTGTAAGTAGAAAACTTAGTTAATTCAGTAAATTTCTATATATAATTTAATATAGTTAAGACTAAAATTGAAACATATGGCTGGGCTATATGTATATGTAAATATTTGGGCTTGCTTTGCATCTAATCACACTTGACCAGTTTTGGTTTATATTTCCCGAGATATGTATGTACACATGTACATTAAAGTCGTTAAGGTAAACATTGCTTCCCATTAACTTTCTGCTAAAAAGCTGGTCACCTTAGATCATCAAACTTTAGTGTTAAGAATATTCTTATAGTAAGTACAAGTACATGAAAGCTAAAATTAACAATTATGTTTTAAATTGCTTTATATAGTAGGACTTATAAAATGTTTGTGGAAATTTAATTTTTTTATTCATTTAATAAATCATTCATCCATTAACAATAAATTTGTTTTTGCATATGATGAAGAGGAACTTTGAACAATTTTACAATTTACTCTTTATTCAGCATCACCGCTTCAAATTGACTCAATTTAACTACATAAAAGGTTTGCTCTCATTTGAAACTGCTCTCACTGCATAAAAATAAGCTCTTTTAATATATACTGATTTCGATTATTTAGTTTTACATATGTATGTATATAGTTGAAGTATTATTATTAAATAAAGTCACAAATTTAAGTTACAAATGTATATTATGCGTACTATTATGCGTATTTGTGCCGAAATATACAATTGGACTTCTTTGAACTCTACGGTACAGCATATAAACTTATATATGTATATAAATAAGTATATACATATATAAGTGTGTATGTATGCGCATAAATATGCATTCAGTTTATAGACATGGCTATGCATTATCATTTAAACAATTTTTATTAGTTTCTACGATTATTTAAAAAACTCATAAAAATAATTTAAGATAATACAATTATATATGAATGTACATATGTACATTTTTATGTGTTAAAGGTATTTTCTTTTTGTGCTAAATAAATTTGAAATACATAAAAGCAAATACCGGCCGGCATTTTTATTCTTTTTCCCAAAGAGTACTCGCTCTCTCATTTTGAAACTGTTGATTTGAGTGATTTTGTGAAATAATTTCTACACTCTTCTAGATGCTTTTGCTAGAATTTTTTTCAGCGCAAATTTGCGTATAAAAGCAGAGCAAACGTCGGCAAGAAAACAGTTTCAAGTATAAAGCAGATTGTGAAAGTTTGTTTGAAGCAAGTTCTATCTGAAATAACCAAAGAATTAAAATGTCGCTAATATTGAGCATGTTAGATGATTTGGATCATGAGATGCATAATCCATTCTATGATTTTGGTATTGGATTACATCCTCATCATGTTCAACATCAGCCGCGTCGTCACCATGATGCGATTGCTGCACACGCCATGCCATTAGGCGTCTACAATCGTCCTTTGGTACGTCGTAATATGCAACAAAATGGCGGACCAGTATCGACTATCGGCAAAGATGGTTTCCAAGTTTGCATGGATGTGGCTCAATTCAAACCGAGCGAATTAAACGTTAAAGTTGTCGACAAGCATATCATTGTTGAAGGCAAGCATGAAGAACGTGCGGATAATCATGGTTATATTTCGCGTCATTTCGTGCGTCGTTATTCTTTACCCAAAGGGTATGATTCCGACAAAGTGGTTTCAACTTTATCATCTGATGGTGTTCTAACAGTTAGTGTACCAAAACCACAGTTGGAGGATAAATCCAAAGAACGTGTAGTTCATATACAACAAACTGGACCAGCACATTTAAATGTCAAGTCGAATTCTGAGGAAAAGGATGATGCTGCCGCTAATGCTGCTAATGGTGCAGAGAAGAAATAAATGAACTAATTCAAATTAATTACATTTTTCATCCCACTATGCACCAATACATTTTAATTTTAAAATTTAATCACATTTAACTTTTATCAATTAAAGCTACTAGACGGTCAAAGTTCCTGTTGTACAGAAACCTCGACTAAGTGTTGGTAGCTACATCATACAGTATTCTCAAGAAAGGCATTAGTAGATGTATAAGCACTTAAAAAAAATAAAATAAAATTGAAAATATAAAATATTGTTTAATTTTAACTTGAATACTTTAAAGTTTTGGGCATTGAAAATTTTTAAAGCGATGTAGAAAGTACTTTCCCCTTTGTATAACAACATTGTAGGGACATGCGTTGTACAGAGATGAATAAAAATATGACGAGGACTATTGAATGATGGGTTCAAACTAGTAATTAAGTGGAATACATTTTACCGTGCTACAGTGAAAAAAAATTTTACGTATATGAAAATGAAAAAAGGTTGCGATTGTTAGATGACAATAGAATAGTATGTATTTGGCACTGTTGTAATTCAACAAAAACAGTTCTCCATGTCCTACGAAAGTCCAACGTATGAAAAACTTAAAGGCGTCTACAGCTTTTTGTGAGGGAGATATGTAAAGTTGCATCCACACCAATGCTAACGCTTGTGAACGAACGAACTTTTGCAGGTACGATTACCTACGAATGTTCGTTCGTTCACAAGAATACTCCTTGGTGTGGATGCACCATAAGAAATCATTTTTGGATATTGAGAGAAATTGCATTGATTAGTTATGAGTAGATTGTGCTCTAATTTTACACACAAAATAATCTTGCTTTTAAAGATGAAAATTCAGTCCTATATATTCACCTAATTCTAAATGTTCCCACTAGGAAATATGGTTGAAAATAATGCTGACAGTGATGAGTTTTATCTAATACCACGAACAAATAATATACAGATTGCGAATGCAGAACAAAAAAATGACCCTATGATTTCATAGCAGCCAGCTTGAAAAGCCAGGTGGCACCTAAGAGCTTTGGATTTTAGAACAATTAAGGCATACACAAACTGCGTATAACACAATGATCTTAAGTGTTCGAAACATACAAAAGAGCTGTTGAATATACGTTTAAGGGGATGTGTGATATAGTATAGAAATGGTTGCTATATTTTCTATTCATATTAGTGATTGTTGGGTGCTTGTGTTTTTTATATGGCAACGATTTTCTGTTGTGCGTTCTTATGCTTCCAGAGTTTTGTTATATAGAGACGAAAGAGCAATCAGTGTGAATTGCAATTTGTTTTTGTATTTACAAATTTTTTTTTCTGGATAATGAGGAAATAGAGAGAAATAATAATAATACATTAAATACTCATGAAATTGCGCAGCATTTCTTTGAAATTGGTGGTTTTCCTAAAATTGCGGCTTGTATTGAAGTTACAATGATTACATTGATGCCCCAACGGAAAATGAGGCTCACTTTGTTACCAGAGATGACAAACATGCCTTAAATGCAATGTGGTTCTGACCGTAGCTATTACGCTATAAATTCTTCTTGGCCTGGAAGCGTGCATGACTCGCTGCTGTTTAATAATTTCGTGTTTGATTTTCGTCCATTTCATGGCGCAGTACAACTTGGTGATAGTGCTTACCCATTGAAGGATTGACTTATACCTCGTTTGGTGAATAATACAACTATTCCAAGATAGCAAAGATATAACTGGGCACATAAAACCACAAGAACGGTAGAAATAAAAAGTAACAAGTTTTTTTTTATGCAGAAATACTTAAAGAGAGAAATTTCCTTTCCTTAACCATTTACGCCTAAAGCATTAAATTGCTGCAAGTTAGTTATTTTAATTTGCTGCATACTACAATGCCCCAACTTGATGCGTCCCCAAAGATTTGGGAGCGCTCGGTACAACCAACTGGCGACAGCAAACAACTAATCGGGCTAACTGACGGAGGCTACTCAACGCGGCTAAGGACGATTCACGTCTGTAATGGCTAAATAAGAAAGTAAGTAATTTTTATAAGCTTTATTTGATTAGTATTAATTTCTAACGTAAGATTCATGACTTTTATAAATTTAACACTTTATTTTATTAATTTATTTAAATTAATTAAATATTTATTTGCCTAATTTGAATACAATATTTTAAATTAACTGTACTATGTTATTATATATTAATAAACTATAAACTATTTATAAATTAAAAATAAAATAACTTAGATTTTATACTTATTTATTACACTGTTATTACATTGTTATTACGCCCAATATTCTTATATTGCTTTATACTTATATTTAAAAATAAAATAAAAAATAATAATAATGAAAAAGAAAAATAACTTAGATTATATACTTATATAATACACTTTATATTTATAAATTGTTATTACGAACAATATTCTTATATTGCTTTATATTTATATTTATATTTATATTTATATTTATATTTATATTTATATTATATTTATATTTATATTTATATTTATATTTATATTTATATTTATATTTATATTTATATTATATTTATATTTATATTTATATTTATATTTATATTTATATTTATATTTATATTTATATTTATATTTATATTTATATTTTATATGGGCTAGAATATGGTTGAGTAAAGGAGGTGTGAAATGGGAAGGTATTGTTTGTGAACAGTTATTCATGGTACTTACTGTTTTCGTACGTTGATCGAAACCTAACTCTATTGGGTGCTTCGCGGCATATATCATTCCAGTTATAATTTGCATTATGGTTTTCTTTGCGTCAAGTTTGTGTTGATGAAAACCTTGGAGGTTCCATTTGAGTGCTGTTCTTGATGGTTCGCAGGTCTTCAAAGTGTGTGACCAATCCATCGCCACTTGCGTCGACCAATCTGAACTGAAACGGTTTCTTGTTGTGTACCACTTTATTTCTTATTCTTTCAGGTCATTTTATACCAAGTATTCTACGCATTTATTATGAAAGGTTGAATTTTTAACTCAATGCGGTTAGAACCTTACCATGTTTCACAGCTATAGAAGAATACAAATTTTATATTTGATTCGAAGATGGAGTTTCGTTTTACGAGATATTTGGTTCGATTTTCATATGTTCCTCAGCATATTGAAGGTAGAATTTGCTTTGTGGACCACTTCTAGCTGTAAGTACACTCCCCAGATACATAAAGTTTTACACGCACTCTAAGTTTTCTTCGTCAACTTAAGCACCAGCGATTTCCTATTGATCCCAAATTTATTGATATTCGTTTCCAAATCACTCAATATATGAGTTGTTAAGTATCCATCATCTGCGTATTTAGTATCTTCCAGCTGTACAAACTGTGTTCACTGTATTCCACAGCTTCCGTTTATTAAAGCACGCATAGTTTCATCTAGGCTACAAAAAACATCTCTGTCGCACTCCAGTATGGACTTGAAATGGTTCTGACAGTAGACAGTAGAGAATGCGACATATAAAATTGTTGTACACGGCTTTGACTATATTGATTATTTTTGGAGATAAACCTCTGCGCGATAGAGTTCATAGCTGTAGCTGTTCATAATACTATTTACGAATCTATTATCAAATAAATGCTAGTGATTGAGAATAAATACTCGCCAACATGGCAAATATATTAATGAAATCTATAGAACGGGTCTCAATATATAAACGAATAACGATTTTTTTTTAAATCAAGAGAAAAAAAATTTAATTTAAGAGGGCTTGTTAGTTTTCGATACGCATATATATTTTTATGTAATCTGGTTAAAAATCCTATAGTTAAAACTCTATATTTGTTCCATACAATTTAAACTAAAGCAATAAATGTTATATATATTATATAATAAAAGAAAATTGTAGAGCACTTTTCCAGATATGACCAAATAACACTTTTGGCGTGAGCTTTAAGTTAAGGAAACCATTTTGAAATATATAAGTTAAGATCTATCGAAGTAAGCATGCTGGTCTCATATAGAGCGTAGAGTGTTCTGACTATGTTTCGTTACTTCGTTCTGGAGAACGAGCTTCCTCAGTAATGAGAGTATATTAAAGAAGGAATGTTGATCGAGTATCATACAATTTTGACAAGCAAAAACACGTACATTTCATCAATCCAATTTTTAAAATATTAAGAACTAAATAAAATTTGTTAAAAAACTTGCAAAATAAGATTGTAAAGTTATAAATGTTTAATAAAAAATTGCATTTTAAATATCAAAGAAATACTAAGAATTAAAACAACAAAGATTTGTTGAGAATTTTAATTATAAAAATTATTATAAATTAAAAAAAAAAATTGGGTTTTCTTCCATTAATGTAAAAAAACCTATGTAGTATAATTGTACGCCTAAATTAATTAAGTTATTAAATTTATTCAAAATATTATTGAACTCAAAATACCAATAAAAATTAATTTATATATTTAAATATATAGTCTTGTTGATTAAAAGTTAAGTAAAAGTTAACGACAAAAGCGTTATATATACCATTCATTCAGTTATTTCAGTAAATTTTTCTAAAGTACATTTTTCTAAAATGTGTTATACATTAAGACCGAAAAGTTTTCGGAAATTCTCATTTAAAATTCGCGCGCTGTATATTTTTCGATATTTTAAGTTTATGTAGTTTGGCAGCACTGTCCTTAATTACTATGCCAAAAATGAGCGCGATCTGTCAGACAGTTCGTTTACGGCAGCTGTTGAAACCAGTTCACCTCAGTAGGGCGTTGCGAAAAAAACAATGGAAAAAAATATTGAACAAAGAGTTTGCATCAAATTTTGTGTTTCGAACGAAATTTCGTGTGCAGAATCGTTGCGAATGCTACAAAAGGCTTATGGGGAATCAGTTTTATCGAAAACTCAAGTTTATGAGTGGTACAAAGCCTTCCAGGACGGTCGTACGACCGTCGAAGACATTTCGCAACGCACTACTGAGGTGAACTGGTTTCAACAGCTGCCGTAAACGAACTGTCTGACAGATCGAGCTCATTTTTGGCATAGTAATTAAGGACAGTGCTGCCAAACTACATAAACTTAAAATATCGAAAAATATACAGCGCGCGAATTTTAAATGAGAATTTCCGAAAACTTTTCAGTCTTAATGTATTAACTGAATATAGAAACTTCTTTAAAGTTATTATATTCAATAAATATTCTTTATATGAATTCAAGTAACTTACATTTTATTTTTACTCATTGTCTCCTACAATGATCTTGATTTCCTCAAAGAGTAACTTATAAAAGTTCAAAATTTAGCAGACTGATTTTCAAAGAACATTATTATAAACCGCGATTTAATTATTTCATTTTAAAAATTTTACATTTTTACATTTCTAATAAATTAAAATTTTTACAAAAATGAAAAATAAGTCAAATTAATTTTTTTTTTGTAGATTCTTGTAATTTGATTTACGAAATTATAGGAGATTTTTCCATGAGAGATCAATTAGTAAATATAGTTGATATTGTAGTATCTTCACTATGTGATTATGTACGTATTGAAATAGGTACAATAGATGTTATTTTTCAAATAGAGAATACTGTTAATTCCATTGGAATTGATTAAAAGAAAACAGTCTTAGAGTATTTAATTATAAAGGCTGCAATCGGATGGATGTATATCAAAATCAATTTCATTGTTACATTTACCTTACTTATAACAAGTTAAATATTTTCAGATATTGAAATTAGAGAAAGAGATTGATCAACTAAGTGCTCATTATGGAAAAAGTATAATCGATGATCACAGATTATATCAAAAACGGAAAATGCTGTTAATCTTAAAAATGGAGAGATGACACTAGATGAAGAATTGATAATTGCCAAATCACTTCTCTGGGATCCCAATATAATTTCTGCGACACTATCCAGTTGCGTTAAATTATCACAGTAAGTATATATAAAGTAGAGACAATAATACAAAAAAAAAAAGACATTTGGGATATCTCGCAACGAATTTTGGTAAATGTCAATATTCTGAACAACTTTTACCATTACACTATATATGATGAATGTCAATATTTTGAACAACTTTTCCCATTACACTATATGTCGATATACTCGTAGCTTAATTTTAGAAATATTGGGTGTGCAAAACTGTTGCAACCAAAGACGGCATTGGATCACCTTTTCATATTGCATATTGATAATTACTATTATTATCGAATTTCATATATATATCGTACTCCGTAAAAAAAAATATTGCTATTAGTCACATTAATCAATAATAAATTTCACAAATATTGTCTTATATCTGATATCATGTCTCAAGTATAACATAAAGTTTCTGAACTTACAATTTCGCATATATGATAACTTTATTTAATTTAATTTCATTTCATTTTAATAATCTTTTACAAAAAGGTAGATAGTTTTTAAGGAAATATATTCAAAAAATTGCATTACCAGTAGAAGGACGTCAATGTTTGTTGTTTTTATCAGACTTAAAATCCTTTGGTGCATATGGACCCAGTCAAAATTAAGTTTAAAACTCAAATAGATTTGGTAAATTTCTTTTAAATTAAAAAAAAAAGTTGATATAGTTGTCTTTACTGTTATCTTGTTTTTAGTTAAAATCAAATTTCCTAAACGTACCAGTACATTTAATTTTTGTAAAAGTATTTATTGTCACAGTTTATTTAACCAGATCAATTTTTATTGAAATGCAGCTATCGTTTCTTTTTAATCAAATCAAGTCAGTTCTCGGTGGTAAACGGTACTATATCGATACATTTGTTGTTGTTGTAACCCGCTGGGATCTACTTGTGAAGTTCATGACTTGGTGACGGATATATATTGTGTTGAATTTGACTATTGTAATTTATCTTTATTCTTGTTCATTTTACTGGATTTTTTTATTGTTAACAATTCTACAACCTATGTTTTCCATCCACGCAATGATTTTTTAATTCTCAAAACCAAGTTCTCAAAACCGTCATATATATATGCCGATTTTGACATAACACAACGCGTTCACTTTCGCTTCTTTTCTCTAACGAGCTTAATACCGAATTGCGCGACTGTTACTTTTCTACGCATTCGCAAACTCGGCGAGGGTTTCCATGCGCACCAAAACAATAAACCCTTAATACTACTACTACTACTTCTACTTATCCTACATTCTCGCCTAACCTAACGGGCGCTTTCCAGCGCTTCATATATTCGGCTACCGTTACTACGCCGCCGGGTACCTTATGGTCACATAACTTTGAAACTTTATACCACTTATGGTTTAAAACAGCGGTAACCTTATAAGGTCCAAAAAACTTAGACCTCAATTTTAAAGCTAATTCGTATTGAGTTCTTTTTATTGCGACTAAATTCCTAACTTTACAAATAGTTTTTTGCTTTCGTTTCGAATTAAAAGTCTTTCTATTTCTCCTGTATACGTTTCATATTTTCTCTATCCTCAGTGCGATAATTTGGATCCATACGATGGGCTGCTTTTACCAATCGGTTTCGTTCTCGCTTCATATCCACTCTTGACAAGTCTTTACGTTCAGTTATATGATTTAAGTAATTTAATTTATTTTTGGAATCGTGATTTGTATCATTCCTTTCTCTAAATATTGCAAGGACTCTTAAATATACGTTCGGCATATAATTTTTTACGTTCTCTACCTCTAATTTTTTATTTTTTTCGATATTCAGGGTTCATACGTCTTATTCTCTTATTTAATGCTTCTTTAGCTTTTCTCGAATTGACTGTTACATCCTTTTGTTGGCTTTTCGTGTTAATAAAGATTCATTTATGACAGACGTTTGTGATATGTTATATATATATATATATAGCTGAATTATATATATATATCTATATAATAAAAAATGTAATTGTTTCTATTTTTTTCCAATTCAAAACTACATCTTGTTGCTTAAAGTGTTCACATTACTAATATTTTTGCCTTTACTAATATTAAAGTACCTTTATTGAAATAACATATTCCGTGGGCTACATGTGTATAATGTTTTAAAAAAATAAAATATACTCCTCGAAATGGTACAAACCTTCTCGTTATATATTATTTTTTCCATTATCTTCTTCCGTTCTATCAACATCTGCTATTCTAACACGTCCAGCGAAATCTGCACAAATGTTAGACACTTCATTCATTTCTGGCATATTTAGCTGGATGCACTTAGGCCATATTTGTCTCCAAGTCCCGTTCATACAAGATTTTTTACCTCCTTCCAGGATTGGTTTAAATTTTCAATAGCCATCAGCATAAAATAATTTTTCCAAAACTATTTCATTAACGGATTGTTGTATCCATCTGTAGCACTAAATGTTCGCCGAAGATAGTAGAATTTAAAATTAGATATAATTTGATGATTGTAAAATGGATGTAGTATACTATAACACCCTGGTGACCTTTAAAAAGGCCTTTTTCTGTATTAAGTAGTCTTTACACACTTGTATTTTTTACTATCTCTTTTTTGTTTTGGATGAGCCAAAATTAAAGGCCTTACAGACTCGCTGGGTAGAAAAGGCCTTTAAAAAGCACTTCAGCACGAATTCTGAAGAAGGTATGTGACAAGGCCTTACACATTCGCTACGTAGAAAAGGTCTACGTACTACAGGTTTTCTGGACTGCTTGAAACAAATTTCTTACATTTTTGCTGCGTAGAAAAATACCTCTAAAAATTTTTAAGAAATACATACATATATTTGTAATTAATTATATTTATTAAAACTCCAATATATAATATTATAATAAAATATATTGAAATTGACAATATTAATATTATTATAAGTTGAATAATATTTACATTTTTTAAACTAATAATATTATATAACTAATTCTAACTATATATAAAATTGATTTAAACTTAAATTATTAACATTATTATAAATTGCATTATATTTACATTTCATTAATATAATTTTCCTTACTTAGGAATTCAGTACCTGCAGCTTCTGTAATATAGTGCAATATTAGACAATGTATTAGGGTGCCATTAACTTTCGAAATTCGTAGAATTTTACGCGGCACTCCACAGATCGGTTTATTTTACTAAAAAAATAATCTTCGTAAAATTTTAGTTTAATTGGATAAGTGGAAATGGCGCCTCAAGAGCCCCAAATATTGGAAAAAAAAACCATTTTTTCCAAAAAAAATTATATTTGATTGCTTATATCCCCGACAAATTTAATTTTACATAGAAACTGTCTTCCCAAAAGTTATAGATCTATTAATAATAAACAATTCACTAATGCAAAGTTTTTTTGTATTTTTAATAATTACTGAATAAAATAAAAAAATTAGCTGAAATCACCCGATTGAATTTAGTGCGTTCTATGAATGCTTGTTACGGTTTGTTGTTTACTAAATTTGCTAAGTATATTAAATTTATATACTAAGTATATAAATTTAAATTTGCTAAAAAGTCTGACGTCTAGATGCATAAATCCATCCATGGATGCAAAAATGTATTTCTGTGTTATTCATTGGAATAAGGTATTTTATCGTCTTTTTGATCTCTAAACTGCTATAACTTATTACTGTAAAATAATTCAAAGTGATTACATTAAAAAGTGTTACAGTTCAAAGTTTGTGAGCTAGTGGGTTGACTGGTAGTAAATTACCATCAAATTTATAAAGAACCAGATACCAAGTTTAAATTTAAAATAACAGTTACTCCTACACTACGCAACAGATCAAGAGGAAATTTAGAAATTGTAGATCAGAAGATTGCAACTGTCCTTGATGCTTGCAAACAGTGGCGGAACTGGACCGACTCTGGACGTCGGCGACATTAGAATTGTGAGGCCCCCTTTATAATCCAGTTGTAAAAGTAAATGAGTTACATTCACTTTTATCACAAAGCATGATTGAAAGTTTTATTGCTAATTAAATTAAAATAAACACAAATTAAAATAAATGAATTTTCCTCATTTTAGCTTCACTCAATTTTTCATAATTTGCTCCAGCTGCTATTTTTGCTTCAGTTTAAAGAATTTCGAATGGAGATAGTCTCTCTTGGATCATCATACTTTTCTAGTACGTCTTAATCAATTTTAAACTTGAGAAGCTTCTTTCCGTCGAAGCTATACTGACTGGAACTGTGAACATGAATCTGGTTACTATATAAACATTCGGAAATATTTCGAATTTTGTTAATGCCATTATCAAATCAAATTGTTCAAATTATTTATTAAGTGGTTAGAATCCACAGTCGGTAACTTTTTTCGAAGCCCCTGTGGGCGCGAGGCCGTCGGCGGTCGTCGACATCGCTGACGTCAAGCAACGCCACTGCTTGCAAAATTATTGATCGCAATACTATTCGTCTCATTGTCGCCAAAATTAAATCGTTAGAACATGATC